TATGCTGTTTGGAAACCGCAAAACTGATACACAAGTAAAAGTAATGATTAATAATGTTGAAATAGAAAGAGTATATGAAAATACATTTCTAGGGGTTCAATTTCTAGGGGTTCTTGATTACAAAATCTGTTGGAAACCCCACATTAAACATGTGAGAGCAAAAGTAGCACGGAGTATTGGAGTAATTGCGAAAGCAAGGCATGTATTGAATGAGAAAGCACTTTATATTCTGTATAGTTCACTTGTATTGCCATATTTAAATTATTGTTGAAGTATGGGGCAACAGCTACAAAACCACCCTACAAATACTAAGTACAATACAAAAAAGAGCAATTAAGATAGTAAATAAAGTAGGATATTATGAGCATTGGAGTAGTATTTTTGTATTATTCAAAATGGTATGTCAGATTTATTATGGCTGATTGTGATTTGGTATTGGTAATTACTGAGGGTAGGATTTAATAAGCCTAGGGCTTCTACCTACCCTTTTTTTATTTCGAACAGGTTGAATATATGTAAAAACAAAAAGTGTATTTGTTGATTTGTTTTTGTTTATTGGTACTTATTTGTATATTTATTATGTGTTTTTTTCCTTTTGTATATTTAATAGTTCGAAAAAATAAATAAAAATAAAAATAAAGGTTAAAAACTATATTTCTATTAGAATTTCCATGAAATTGCAATTATAACCACTAGATGGCAGCAGAGAACTACTGTTAGGCTCATTCAACTCACTAAAACAGTACTTTTCATAGGTTTTGCTTTTGGAATCATAATTAGATATTACAAAATCACTGTTAAAACATTTAAAATCACATTCAGTCAAAGTTTACCACTTAATTTATCCAGATATATATCGGTTTTGACAATTTTGCCACACTGTGATTACAGATAAACCTGAAAATTATATATAAATTGTTAAAAAGAGAAGACTTGCAGCAAGTATTTTGTTACCTATCATTTATTTGAAATATCTATATCTGCAGCTAAATATGTGTGCATGCGTGTATGTGTGTAAGCATGCTTATTGAGTATTAATATAATAGTTTAACCATTATTCTCCATCATGGATGTGTCTTAGTGTCAGCCACGCATTTCAGGTTGGCCTAGACCCTAAAGCATAGCACTGTAAAAGCCTTAACTCCCTGGGGTCGAATCCCGCACTGGCGCGGTCTGTCTCGTATTTTCTTGATGACCGCGAAAAGAACTAAAAATACTCCTTCATTTTTGATCGTACAGATAAGAATAAGGTATCATTTGAAACAGCAAAGGGTCTACTTTTATTTGTGTATAGTCATAACAACAAAACCATGTGCTTTTGTAAAATAAAGAAAATAAACAGGGTGCACTCTGTGCCGTCTCGGTCTCTGTCACCTCTCTTCACAGACACGTAAATAAAACAACCCGAATCTCCGTGAATACTTGCCTCAAAGACATGAGAAATATATGTATAGAAAGCTTGAAATGTCTACTTTTTAAATTAAGTAAGTCACGTCCAAAACAATTATCCTCTGTTAAAGTAATCCATAAGAAACCAACGCGATGTCCAGTTTTTCCCGTCTCAACCCATTATCTCTAATGCGGTCACGCCCACGAGCCGATCGCTCTTTTCAAATTCTAAACATTCACGTGAGACACGCATGTAAACTCCCACATCACCTCCGCGTAAACAAACAAGTTAATCCCGGCTACTTTTTGTTTCTGGAAGACGACGCGCTGAGAGGAATAACCAAGAATTTACCTCAGAAGAAGAACACAACACGATGCGTCATGCAGCTGGATCCAGTGGAGAATATCATTCTGATGAGTAGCCTAAGATTACTTGCATCTGTTGTTATTGTGTTATTGTGACATAACTTGTACACATTTTACTAGTTAGACTTTTCTAATTCCTGACTACATGTTTGAAATCAAGTGAAACATTTTGAAATATGTGATATTTCATTGTCTAAATGTCTCACAACGCCAGGATGTTTGTTTAATGTTTTAACATATAAAACCACAAGATATAAAAGTAGTGTGAGTGTTAACACTATCTCTCAGGTGTGAATCACTAAATATTCATGGCCATTGTCACTCCCTCGCATAAGGGCATTCTATCACAAAACATGTTTTACAAATGTTAAATCCATATATTGTTTTCTGTGAATGAGTGAAAATGATAATTTTCACATCATTTTGTAGCAAAAACTCATCTACCACATCCAGTTTCTCAAAAGTCCTGTGAACAAATATTCTGTATGTGTTTTCTGGCTTTATTTCAGTGACTTAAAAAAAATATTTTTCACTAACCATGCATAAACATTGTTTTCTCAAAAACACAAACATGTACTTTCTGCTCACATATTACTGTAGCCCAGTTTGTGCTGAATACAGTGTTATCAGACTTTAGTCATTAATATTTTTTTAAGAAACTGTAAAAAACAAATGTCAGGGCATGCCAAAACTTCTCCAGGGCCCCAAAACACCCTCAGACCCCAGAGGGTTAAAGTGCTTGAACCCCGGTAATTGCTGCTTGCAGCTATATATATATATATATATATATATATACACACACAGTATATACATATTTTAGATTGCAATGTTAGAATATTAGAATGTACTATGATTATCTATTCTATTCTTTGTAGCATAGTCTACATGGTTACTTTCACTATATGTGTTTTCATTGCCTATAAAGGTGACATCATGAAAATCTGACTTTTCCAGGTTTTAATTGCTATAATCAGGTCCCCGGTGTATCTACCAACCAAGGAAAGGTGAAAAAGATTAACCCTACTGTTCTGTCTTTGGCTGCACGACGAGCACAGAACACTGTTTAGAGTCCCAGCCTCAGAGGAGACAAGACCGCAGTGGATTTATTGATTTATTTAGTGTAAATTGCTGCTGCCACACAGATCTAAAATAAACATGCAATTTATTTCCCAGCTGTTTACCTTCACAGACATAACCGACTGTTTTTGTAACTCGTGTGTTTTTAAAGTAAACTTGTGTGTGAATGAGAACTTAGTTTAGTACTCGCATGCTGTGACAGTTACTTTCTGTACATGTGCACTCAGAAAACCGTATATCAGAAGTTTAAACTAATATGGTTTAAAATGCATTATTTCAGCACGATAAACATGATAATCAGAATCAAAACAGATGTTTTTTTTAGCAGTTACGAGCTGTAATGGCGCAGCTCTATTCTGGAAAAGGGGGCAGGGAGCAGCAGCTCATTTGCATTTAAAGAGACAGGCACGGAAAACAGTGCGTTTCTGCTTCCACTCAAAATAGGCATTTTCAAAATTATATAATAAATGATCTGTGGGGTATTTTGAGATGAAACTTCACAGACACATTCTGGGGATACCAGAGACTTATATAACATTGTAAAAAGGGGCATTGGACATCATTTGGCACGATGGGGAAAAACAAATATATATATTTATTTGTAATCCAAATAGAAAAACCTACAAAATACCAAGATATATACCGTATATCTCAATTCAGCCAAAAAATACATAGATATGATTTTTTTTTTTGCCATATCTCCCACCCATGTGTATGTAAATTAATTTTTACTTCAGATGTTATCTGCAATGTTTATGGTCTTTTCGTACAGGATAAGCGATATATTGAAATTGTTAAGGTGGGTGTGTCTGCTGCGCATTTGCCGACACGGGTAACTGAGCAAACACTAAATATATTTCTGTACGTAATTATGCAGGAAATACTAAAACATATATCTGGTATTAGTATCTGAAATTGATTCGAATATACAATGAATAATACAATACAAGCCTCTGTTACTATATTGCTGTATGTTGTATTGAAATTCAAAGCTTACCATGCATCATCTTAGAAATAAAGCTTCATGTTTTCAAGTCCGTATCCTATGTAGTCAGCGTTCTGTCTCTGAATAAGTGATGTGTATATTTTTAATCTCCTGATTGAGCAACATCTCAGTTTTAGCATTACCGTTTCCACAGGAGTAAAATGTTATGTATATATGATGAATTATTTAACCAATGTTTAAATCATTACCTGCTTCAAAATGCATGCTGTTAACGAAATCATTGTTGAAACATTTGCAGTTAACCTGCTCTACCAATAAAAACACTATAACACAATTACATAAACAGTGAATAACTGTACAAGGCGAATTAAGGAATAAGTGTATACAAAGCATAAATCTTTATTAAGATTTCAGAATGAGCACTTTGTCATTTGTAATACATATGTTGAGCATGCCATGATTATCATGTTCATCTGCTGTATGCTACTGTAATGTATATGAATGTAACTTTTTAATACGCATAGGAAAATTCTGACATCAAACAAATAACCGTTTACAGGCTTAAATTTAAATTTTCAAGACTATTTAAGGACCTGCGGAAACCCTGATCAGGGTCAAAGCACCAATGGCCCATGTGGATGATACAATTTAAATGTGAGACAATTGAATGCAAATGCGACAACTGAACAGTCTAATGATGAGATTTTTACAATAAAGCCCATCTTTAATCTTCACTAACAATTTGATGAAACGGGTCACAGCAACACACTGGTGTTGAAAGTCCAGGTACAAGACAATGCAAATACTTTTTACTGCTCAATTTGGTCACTGAAATGTGGATGGATCTCTCAATTGTGAAATTTCAAAGCGCATCAGACTTGACGCCAAAATTTTCTTCTCAAAATTTTCAAACCCTAAACAGATTAAAGTTCACCCCCACTGTCTCACAAAATTCTGTGGGAAACTCTTTAGACTATTTGAAGAGTAGATCACATTGTAATCTATTTAAGTTGTATGATGTTACAGTAGTTATGATGGTATTTTGGTGAAGACTGGTTAATTTTTGTATGTGTAAACAGCAAATAAAAAAAAACTGCTTAAACCACTTAAATAACCAGGTTATACTCTTTTCAACTTGAAAAACATCAAGGCTGGCTTATGTCTATGAAGAAAATACTACTACTAATAATAATCCTTATATGTTACAATGTTTTGCCTTTACCTCAGCCATGAGAATCTTCAGGGCGCTCTTGGCCTCTACGATGGTTGTGATAGAATCCCAGCGCTGCTTTATCCGTCCATCATTATCCGCATCCAGGACCTTCTGTTGCAGATCAGCTATCTGAGCACTCCTGAAAGAGTTTAGAGAAATATGTTTGTTTGTTTTTAATTTACAGTTGATAAAAAAAGTCTACAAACCCGTTAAAACTGAAGCGCTTTGAAATGCGTAAAAAAAAAAAAAAAAAAAAATCATGTCAGATCTTTTCAGCCTTGTCAAAATATCGGTTAACCATCAGTGTGAGGGCATGTCTATTTTTGCACAAACCATTATTATTATTATTTTGAGTTTAACCCCTTCATTGCTGTGTGCTTTTTTTCTGCATTGTGGCTGATTTGTAGACTGAAGTCAAGTCAAGTCTGCTTTATTGTCAATTCTTCCACATGTACAGCACATACACACAGAGAATTGAAATTGATTTACTCTTCTTGGCCAGTGCTGCGGTGTTGTCAGCCCAGGAGAGATCCTCTGTGATGTGCACACCCAGGAACTTGGTGCTGCTCACCCTCTCCACAGTCACACCATTGACGGTCAGAGGAGCATGCTGAGTGCGCACTCTCCTGAAGTCAACAACAATCTCCTTCGTCTTCTCCACATTCAGAGAGAGATTGTTGTCACTGCACCACCTGGCCAGGCGACACACCTCGCTCCTGTAGTTTGTCACACTAAACACTTTGAAACACTAATACTTTCATTTACTGTCAGTATTCATCAGATATGCAGTAGTAGTAGTAGTAATTTTTATTGCCATGTCAGAATCTAAGGCTATCTTCATGGCAAAAACTGTGTTGGGATAATACAAGAGTTACATAACCAAGCAAAAACAAAAATACAGCAGTTAAAATTACACAAGATTTTTTTTAAATTAACATGCTAAAAAAAAAAAAAACATCTTTTCTGCAGATATGCATTTTAATTTAGCAGCGTACGAGTATTGAATTGAGTTCTTTGGTGTCTCATCACACTTGAATGGACATACACAATGTTATGTCAAAAGCCTTGTTCAGACGGTCAGCCCAAATCCGATTTTTGTGCAAATTCGATCATATTTAGATAGTCTGAACGGCAACAAACTAAATGAAATTAGATTTTTACAAATCCATTTCGAGCAATATTCATAAGTGGTTTGAAATCCTATTCAAATTGAATTTCAATTTCTCTGAGTTTTGAGACCGGTGGAGACAGCAACACGTAATAAAGCCACGCATGCAGCTTCCTACCTTTCTGCTGCTGCCTCATAAGACATAATACTGTTATCACTTATTATAATCCATCATGACGGCAACATGTCATCTTGTTGTAAGGCAACATCTGTATTGCAAACTGTCTATATTTTATTTTTAAACATAAATACAACCTTAATAATATAATTCATATTAAGAGGTTAATAGATGTTTTCTTCAGGAGTAGCCATGTGAATTGGATGCAGACCTGCGAGTTTGACTGTTCCTGGATGCGATCAACTTTAAATCCTTGATTTCAGACTATGGCTATAACCAGTTTATCATCGTGTCATATTCATGTCGTATTTGTGGTGTCCTGTACATAAAATTAATCTTACCTGGTCTTTGAGAAAATGATTTCCAGTGCACACAGATTTATATTGTTATTATAGTGTATTGTTGGATTGTTTACCTGGTGTTTTTCAACAATTTTTAGATTTGAGAACAATACTGTAATATGATTACAGAATCAAAAAGTTGCCATGTAAAGTATGAATCTATTTTACAGTTTTATTTTTTAATCAAGCTCAAAATATTTTCTATTTTAGTCAATATAATTTAAAATAAATTACATTGCAAAATTGTTATGCATGTTACTTACCATCTTTGAAATAAACCGTGTGATTTCATACAAGCCTATGTCAACTTTGGCCATCGGCCACCAAAAAAATACACATCGGGTGACCACTAATTAAATCTATATACAGTGTTAATTTTGACAGCAAACTGAGGTCACACTTTAGTTTGGGGACCAATTCTCACTATGAACTAACCATTAACTAGGACTTTTGCCTCAAACTCCTAAACTGCTGCTTATTAATAGCTAGTAAGGTAGTTGTTAAAGTGGTCATATGAGCGATTTCAAGTTTTCCTTTCTCTTTGGAGTGTTACAAGCTGATTGTGCATAGATAAGATCCCTGAAGTTGCAAAGACTAAAGTCTCAAATCCAAAGAGATATTCTTTATCAAAGTTAAGACTCTGCCATGCCCCCCTAAAACGGCTTGTTCTAACACGCCCCCACATATCAACCTCACATTTGCTAATGACTGTTCAGATGCGGAGTTTTGCGCATCGTTCACTGTGTCTGTCACGCGACTCTGTTCCCCTTTCGGGCTAGAACCGATTATAAAACTAATTACATTTACTGTCTTTACATTTATTTTGAAAGATGAAGCTCGCGATTATGGTAAGGGGCGGTACATTTCCGACGAGTGCTTGTGGTGTTCGGCCAATCACAATGCACTGGGTCAGCTGGCCAATCAGAGCAGACTGCGCTTGTCGGAAGGAGGGACTTTGTAGAAAACGAAGCGTTTGAAAGAGGCGGGGCATAGAGGACCTACAATAATGTACAGTATTTGAAAAATAATGTGCTTTTTGAACATTAAAGCATGTCAACATATTCTGTTACACCAAATACACAAAATAATGATCTTTAAAAAAAGCATCATATGACCCCTTTAAATTTAGATATTGGGTAGGGTTAAGGATTCTAAAATATGGTCAAGCAGAATAAGGTATTAACTGTGCTTTATAAATACCAATAAACAGCCAATATGCTAGCAACATGCACACTATAATATGCATAATAGTGAGAATTGGTCCCAAAACTAAAGTGTTACCAATTTTGATTTAGTCAGTCTTCTGGTTAAAATGCCATTTAGTTTTAGTCATTTTTTTAGTCATCCGAATTGTTTTAGTTTTAGTCTAGTTTTAGACAGCTAAATATAAGACTTTAGTTGACTAAATCTACAGTAGATTTGGTAGACTAAAAATCTAATGGATTTAGTTCAATTGAAATGCATTAAGCATTTCCCTAATATTTCCAAACTAATATACTCCTGGAGAAAACATCTATTAACCTGTTAATATGAATGATATTAAGGTTTGAACATGCAATACATATCTACATATCGCTATCCGAGAGGTTGCTTTCTGTGTGCACTCAGAAAACTGTGCCAAATTCAGTTCTTTCGCATAATCACACTTTTTCAAATGCATTCATGTCTATTCATTTCTTTCTTCAGATTTTTAGTTTTGTTTAAGGAGACACGCATCAAATGTATGCAAAATTATACCCCCAGGTCAATCAGTACGTTACAATTCAAATGTGCACATCTAACCTCCCTACAATGCAGGACATCAGTTCTGATTGGATTTCTTCATAAATACTCCCACCCTAACATTTTTGTATTGTTTTTGTTTGTTGACAAAGTATAATAGATTTTTTGCCATAGTTTTTAATTAGTCTTTTCATCTGTGAAAAAAAATCAAAAATTATTTGTCAATGAAATTAACACCATGTATGAATTGTAAGGTGCAACATTTCAAGAGTCCTTCACGGTAATAATTCTGCCTCGCTCAACCAGAGCGATTATATAAATAAAGTGATAAGAGAAAGTTTGAACCTCAAGTTCAAAGTTTGAATTAGAGAATCTCTGTCAACTTTTGCACTATATTCCAAGTCTTCTGAAGCCATTCACTATAGCTTACAAGAGGAACAGACAAAAATTGAAGTATAGACTTTTATGTACTTTTTGTTTGTCCTTTCCGGGGCTTGACAGCCCCCATTTGCATTCATTGTCATCACTCCATGTAGATTCAGTCTAAAAGTGGTGTGATTCATTCACTGTGGTTCAGTTGTAGTATGACTGACCTGAGCCCCATCTCTGTCTCTAGACTCTCCACTTGCTTGCTGATAGAGGCCTCCAGCTCACCCTGGCCTTCCAACTCTGAAATTGTCAGTGTACGACGCTGAGAAAGAAAACACCAAAAATACAATTCAAATGCATTAAATTGCCATTGATTAGTGACTAAGGAATTCAATCTGGGTCAACAAAAGGGTCAGTATAATTAAAAGGAAGAAAAGGCTGTCAAAGAGAATAATAGACAGTTTGAGTATTAACTCATTTACTCATTATGCAGTTTCAAACCCATAAGACTTCTGTTCATCTGTTTTAATATTCTCTCATTATTATTTTTTTTGTACATCCATTGAAAGTCTAAGCAATCAACATTTTCAAACATTGGGAAATGCATTAAAACATCATGATGTACTCCATATAAATTGAGTGGTTTAATTTATGCAGGGCTCTGTGTCCTTATATGGTTGCATTTATCATCTCAGCCAAACAGACAGAGCAGCACAATCTTGGAGCAGGTGTGCTTGCATGCAGACCATTTTAGACCATCACACTACATCATAAACAGCGTTACGAGATCCAATGAGAAGCGCTCAATACAATCAACAGATGTATCAGTGATTTAAACTAATTTAAAACCAGATGCAAAAAGGAAAAACAGTGTTGTGAACGATCCAATTAGAAAGATTTTCAATCCAAACATTGCCACTATGGATTTACTGTAGTACTACTAACACTAACTGTCATTAATGATCTTCATCTCAACTCAAACTCAGTACCGTCAAATGTGCATTTCTAAGAGACAATATTATATATTGTTGTCATTTTATTAGTATCCCCTCCTCAAATATGTGTGCTTGACAGACAAGAATGGATAAAAACTGCCATTGGATTAAAACTGCCAGTCATGTGAAGTACTTCATTTTTGTTCTGAAGATCTTGTGGGTTTTTGTCTTATGGGTCTGCCTTACAAGCACTGTGACACAATCACACAAATGCAGTAAGCAGTTTGCTAGTATTCCATATTGAACGTGTGCCAACCTTACCCGAACTTTGGCTACAGGTCTCTCTCCTGCCTCCATCTGCTGCCGAAGCTGAGAAATCTCCTCTGCTAGCATCTTCCTGTCCTCCAGCAGGTCCTGTAGATGCCGGCGGGCCTCTTCTGTGCTCACAAGCACTTCTACTTCATTCAGCAACCAATTCTTAACCAATCAAAATGACAACAATTGCAACATTTATTCTAAGATGCAAATGCATGTACATTTATATTTTTGTCTTGTTTTCTCAAGTTCACAACATGAACTTGCTCTCAACATAGAAAGCTCTTTAAAAATGGTGCCATGATTTTTTTCCCACCAGGTAAACTGCCTACTAGAAATGTTTTGTTGAGCACAAGCAAAAATTAGAAGGTATAATTAAGGTACAATGAAATCTAAATCACATCACAACTACCATAATTACCTGAGTTGAGCTGACAATAACATCACAAACTAAAAGGTCAAAAGTCAAGATCAGCAATTATCAGCAATTCTCAAGTATAAACAAGAACCCTGTATAAGAGCTTGCAGCAGGGATTTACTTGTATTTGACTCCAAATCTACTATGGGGCAATTAAATGTAACAACTTGTGTAAAATTGTATCATCAAAAAATAAACATTTTATCAAACTTCAATACTTGCCTTAATCATAAAACAACTGAAGATCAAACTACATAAAAATCACCTTTCAAGTACAGTAATATATATTACAAGCATATGAGAGTCAAATTGGACTACATGGACATATCAACCTCACTCATTTAACAGTTCATCTACTGCCAAAATTACACCAGCAATGTCTGAATCAGAATGAGTAGTTTCTGCATAAAGAAAAAAATAAATCTGTCAAAATATAATGTACAACTTTCTGTTTCCATCAGGAACCAATACGTTGAAAGATGTTCACTAACACGGTAAAGTTTTCCAATTGGATTGGCGTTCTTTAGCTTGCTGTTCAAAGTATTTTACTCAGTCCCTGACATTACTATTCAATTGACCTATCGCTAAGCCCCGCCCCCCCCTTAGTTACTGTTGCTCACTCAGACAGACAAATGGAGTTGCTCATTGTCTTAAAATGACAGCTGTCAGTGAAAACCTTCTTCGGAGGTGTTTCTGATAAATTTGGGACACAGATGGACCTTCAAGTGGGACTTAAATATGCCATGGAGGGATATATAAAAGCTATTAAAATAAATATGTAAAAATGCAGATCACAATGCAAACGGGAGAATTATGTTACGGTCGTCACGATCGCACTGACAACATGCAGGATCAACACCGTTCATATACCGCAGAGTAAGATTAAATTAATTTACATTTAACCAGAATAATATGGAGAGGCACTCTAAGGCCATGTCCACACGTACACGGGTATTTTTATAAACAGTTTTTACTTCTTCTGTTTTTAAAAAAAATCTCCGTCCACATGAAAACGCAAACGCATGCTATGAAGCACTGTCAAGAGCATGCCAAACCAAGAGGTGGCGATATAATCTCAACCGTAAAGCCATGTTGGCCAATCAGAAGCCTGAAAAAGTCTCCAGTAGGCGGAGATAACAGCACAGTCGCCGACGTCACAAGCCAAAAACTCCGGTTTCATTGTCTACACGGTAACACTGCAACCGGAGTTTTTGAAAATCTTCACCCTGGCAGGCGTTTTCAAAAATGTTCGGTTTCAGTGAACTGGTGCTGCGTTTGCGTGTGGACGAACGGCCTAACCGCGTAGAAAAAGTTTTAAAAATAACCGTGTTCGTGTGGACAGGGCCTAATATAGACCTTCGTTTATGTGTTTTTGACTTTCACTGCACGGTAACGTTATATGACGTGAGAACAGTTCGCTATTTAGGTTTGTAAGTTAGCATGGACGCACTAACTTCACCGTTAGCTAGTTGTAGCCAGAGATACCTTGCTGAAGCACAAGATGACATTAACGTTCTGCTTGAGCAGATGAAAAGTATAACTTAATGAGAGTATGACAACCAGAAAATGAACGTTTTTGTCTTCATTGTGATTGGGGTTGAATACTTAGGGACATTTTGCTCTGTTTGTTGGATTTAGGAAATGGAATAAAATACATTTCATTGCCTATCCTCTCAGGATAACTGGAATTAGTGTTACAAGTACCCTAGGCACATCGTTTTTCCATTTTTGTAGCATAAACACCATCAAACCGATGTGAGCTTTGGATCTTCCAATGTTTCTCTATGGCGCTGAAACCTAAAGATGTCGGAGTTCCGCTCCCCGTGCAACTGATATTCGACTGCCATTGGCTCATCTGCGTTCGAGGGGAGGGGCTTACCGATAGGACAATTTCAGCGAGTGAAGAACAAATTTATACTCGCATGTGTTAAGGTCTCTGACAAACAGCATGTTGAAGTCACTTAAGACGCTATGACATGTTAGGCTTGTCAAAAATGTTGCATTCATTTGTCACAAATTTATTCACTTTTGAAAATCAAGTTAATTTTTTACCATTAAAGGACTGGTTTTGGTTTTTTATTTAAACCTATGAAAAAGCAGATCTGTTATAAATAAGTGGGGGGGGGGGACTTTTTGACTCAATCTTTTAAGGCAGATAACTGATTAATTCTATAGTTTTATCTTAAAATATAAATAAATAAATACAAAAACTTACTTTTCTGCATTTGCATACATCTGCTATTCTGGCATTCTATACTATGAACTGTTGGCTCTGACACAAATTGCTTATGTTCCTCATTTGTAAGTTGCTTTGGATACAAGCATTTGCTAAATGAATGAAATGTAAACCAACGTAAAACAGACAACAAATCTAAATATTTTAAATGTTACAATTAAAGAAAGGATATCCATTTTGAGATTTGCTGTAAGATTACATGTAACAGTGTTAATAATGTTAATGAAAAAAATACATCTAATTAAAATTAAAATATATAATATCAAACCAATAACCAATATGGTATCAATATACTATGCATCCTTAGCTGGTAAACCAATTAATTAATAAATAGATAAACATAAATCAGAAAATAAATGACAAATAAGCAGGACAACAAACCAAACTTTTTCTAAGTAAGGTACCTTGATTCTACTGCTGACACCCTCTGCTCCACGGTTCTGGACTTCTTTGCGTTTCTCTGCAACTTCACTCCTCTTCTGTAGAGCATCTTTCAGACGCTTGTTAGCAGCAGCAGCCTGTTGATGCACATTTAAGATTACACCATACTTTATAGGGGAACACTGCAAGTATGTGACAAGGATACCCCAAAAGCACCCTCAGTTGAAACTGTATTAATATCATATTGGCGAAACAGATTTGGAAAAAAATCCAGTGTGTATTTGTGTTTGCGTTCTGGACAGCATCAAAGGTTTCTATTTGCAACGCATTTTTGCACCATTGTGCAACATAGCAAATCACAGACATATTTGTTGATTTCTTGAACACAATGGTGTAGCATCTGCATAGGATCACCGATGATCGTTTGAGCTTTATGTCTTAGAGACCCTTTTAGCCTTTTGACATTTGCATATAAATTACACAGCCTACTTGTAAATGGGTGCTAAACTTCCAAAGGTTTACCCCACCATCCAGAAGATACTAGGCTTGCCGCGCTAGACGGTGTTACCGGTGTTAAGCCGCAACACCGGTTACGTCACTTGCCCACCGCGTCACCGACCCCCACCGTCGTTTAGATTTTTTATAGAAATAAAAATCTTTTAGTAGTGAAAGTAAAATGGGCACACCGCTTTTACAAGCTATTTAAAAGCGAAGGAAAGCTAGGAAAAGAGGGAACGCCCCACCCCCACGGTGATGGTATTACCGGTGTTGTCACACATCGACTAACCGGTGGGAAAATTTCCTCACCGTCACAACAGGAAACAACCGGTTCTGAGTCTCAATCCTGTCAAGGAAGGGACTGCAACAGATACACTCGTTCTGAGTCTGAGTACTGCAATGGAAAAGACGTTAACAGACATGCTATTCTGAGTCTCAGTCCTGTCAGGGAAAAGACACTAACAGAGCAAGTTCTGAGTCCGAGTAATGCAATGGAAAAGACGTTAACAGATACATTGTTCTGAGTCTGAGTCCTGTTACCAGGAAGACAGCAACAGAAACAACCCGTTCTGAGTCTCCTGCCTGCAAGGGTGAGACAATAGCAGATCAACCTCCGTTCTGAATCTGAGTCCTGTCAAGGAAAGGACTGCAACAGATCACCAACGTTCTGAAACTCTGGCCCGTGAGGGAAGAGGCAATAACAGATACCAAGTCCTGAGTCTTCAGCTTCGAGGCAGCAACAGATACGACCACATTCTGAGCCTCTAGCCTGCGAGGAAAGAGATAATCTACGTTCAGACTTCATTCAGAGTCTTCGTCCAGCGAGACAACAACAGATGCAGCACGTCCTGAGTCTCCATCCTACATAGACAAAGCGGATCGACCAAGTTCTGAGTCTAGCCCAGAGAGGAAGACGACACACAGACATCTGCAACAAGGTTAAGCTCCGGCGAGCAAACCTTCACTCCAAGGTACCTTTGCCTGCGTGTTCCAGGCTAAGGACCTTCTGCACCTACTCCAGGGAAGAGGTCCGTGCGGGACTGTTTTTTTTGTCCCGCTCCCGCAAGGTTCTATTCCGCACCCACCCGCTCCCGCTATATATTCACTCTTTGTTCACCCGCTGTCCGCTTAGAATAATTTTCTTCCCGACCCGACCGTTCCCGCTAAATTTAGATCTCGTTTCCAGAATCTCACATTTAAATTTCCGCTACTGAAAGAAAGAGATAGGCTGACAACCGCTACTGAAAGAAAAAGATAGGCTGACAAATAAAAGTGTAGTCTTCACAAAATTGTATGTTATTTTATTCGTCTTGTCAAGAGTCTTGAATTTATTGACTTTGACTTGAATTTATATGAATTATCTTAAGACATTTAATATTTTATGCAACACAGTAGGAAAAACGTGTCAGAGACAATAAAAATGTTGTACAAAAATTGTATTTCTTATTTTTATTCGTCTTGTCAGGATACAATTCGTTTAACATTGACAACACAATAGGGAAAAAGTATCGCAGAGAGAAAAAAAAATCTAAATGTAGTTTGTACAAAAATAGCCTATTAGCTATTTTTATTCGTCTTGTCAAAATACTAAATTCGTTTGACATTTTTCTGTTAACAGTAGGAAAAGTGTTGCAGAGAAAAATAAATAAATAGGACATCTTTCATTTAAAATTATAGGCTAAGCAAAATACAAACAAAACAGAGTTGAACGTCCTTCAATGAAAGCGCATCCACACTTTGCTCCATCCTTATTCTGCTCTGTCACTCATCGACAACCTGCCTGTTCTGTCTGAGGGCCGTATATTTACCACAGGTACAGCCTGCTCTGAGCATATACACATGCTGCGTGTGTTGATAAAACAGAAAGAGGTTCTACAAGTTAGAGATCCCACCAATCATTCTTTTGCAATGTACTCATAACAACACCTTAATTGACACGTGATCCAAATATCATAACGTCATTGGTGACGCGAGTATCCATCACTACACTATTTTGCCTCCCCAGGTTGGAGAAAGCAAAATTCACTACACACATAAAGACAATTTCTTTATTTAGGACATGATTAAGCTGTTATAAAAGTATATGCATGTTGTATGTTCCCCTAGTATATTAGCCCAGTTACAACTCTGTATTGGTATTCGTTAAACTCTAAATGTTTATGTCCCAGTGTATGAATGTATCTCTGAATGTATATCTTCTAGCCATTTCTTTCTTGGTATCGAAACAATCTGCTCTTTATTGCCTAAACAATGGTGTACACTACGTGATGATGAAACGCATCATACTGTTTTTTTTAATCATACTTTGTGTAAAACTGTACCAATTCTCCAGACCAGCAATAAACATGCAAATGGGCCATAAATTGAGAAAGAACTTCTCCCGCTCAAAATTCATGCCTTGTATTGGCCATGGCACCAAAGATGGGTGTGACTGGAAGAGGATTAAAAGTCCCTAACCCAAACCAATCATTGCTCAAATCTCTTGAGACAGACCCTCTACAAGACTCACACCTTTTGAGTCTGACCTTCCGGCAGTTTTATCTTCAAGTAACTTTGTCGATTCGCTGTGGACTCTCCATTCTTCAGAGGAACCAGACGAAAGGTTCCAGCTCACTCCTAACAAACTACCGCATCCGGACTCTTGCTCAGCAAAGCCAATGCAAGTAACCGTTTCCAACTATTTAGATGCGCGTCTAAGTTTGGGCCCCTTTTTAAGGTGATTTTGATTCTCTGATGACTCTCATTAGGTTGTGGTTAATTGATGTTGAACAAGCGATTGTCTGTGTGTGTTGCTCACAAGTCCCTGAAGGTTGATCTTGCTACATGCCAAGTTACTGCTAGTACTGTATAAAGTAGGAAAGCTGTTCTTTCTTGGCCAGGAAGATAATCTTTCCTAGAATTGATAAATGATTATACTGTCTCGGTGTACGAACAGTTTAAATAATTGTAATATTGATTCTACTACAGTTAATTCTGAGATCTAATCTAAATATTTATAATTAATTATAACTAGTTATAATTAATCATAAATATTTCCCCTTTTGAGCTAAATTGATACAATGGCCAATCAGAAGCGTTTAAGTTAGAATACACTCAATGCTCAAAACACCAGAGTTTTTCAGAGTACTGCACACTCGCAAATCTTCTTATTATAACAAAAGTGCAGACACAATGTAAAAAAATAGATTAATTGTGCAGTGAATAGGGCTGAAACGATTAGTCGACATTATCAACGTCGACAACAACAACAAAAATTGTCGACAAATATTTTTGTTGTCGTGTATTCGTTTGATCTCATATGACCTAATCTAAGACCCTGCGATAATGCGGTTTGACCAGTGTGGCGCTGTAGCGCAATACTGTAATTCACCGTCCTGATGTAAAAAACTCTCCTGATGCAGTTCAAGAGAAGACACAGCGCTTCAGAGCAAACAGAGCAGAATCGAACCTGAAGCTGCTGAGGGACATTTGGATGATTATGTGAACATAATAGCTGCTCGCTTTCCTCTCAATAACAAAATAAACATCAAAAACTGACAGCGGTGTGAAAGCAGCAGTTAACCCATCAATTATAGAGAACTACAGACCGGTTTCCCTTCTTCCTTTCATTGCAAAAACACTTGAACGAGCTGTGCTCAACCAAGCCTCTGCCTTTCTCAAAAAAAAAAAACTTGTCCCTTTTAGACTTGCACTCTATTCATTTGCTACTTGTTTTCTTTAAAAAATAAAAAAAATAAAAATAACACTTGCTTTCTATACGTGTACTGCGTTAAGCTAACTGAGACTTGTTATAGCACTTGTATATCATTGCTCTTTTGTTGATATTGATTGCTTCCATTGTCCTCATTTGTAAGTCGCTTTGGATAAAAGCGTCTGCTAAATGACTAAATGTAAATGTTATAAATCAGCTCTCCAGTGTGGAGCTAGCTAATGATAAAATCTTTTTATTAGTGGGGGAAAAAAATTATTTCATTAAAGTGAGTTTGGTTTGCAGAGATCAAAACTTGATCTAGCTCAGAACTGTTTGATTATCATAACCCTATAAGGTATTTTAAGAGAGATTATGTTGTGAATAAAATAGTTTATCCAAAAATAAAACGTCTTATCACTTACCTTTATTTTGTTTCTTATCCATATGACTTACAAAAGGAGATGTCAGGCAGAATGATGTCATTCAGTGACTTTTTCATATCGCTAACTAAATGGTGAATGAGAGAGTTTCTCTGTCGGTCATCTCATTTTGTGCAAAATATATTTATTTGTATAAATTAATTGTATAATAATTGTAATTACATAATATGATTTTCAAAAGCTGAAGTGATTACCTTTTATTTATTCGTTAGAATATGTATAACTCAATACTTTAACTAATTGCAAAAGCTGTAATCAAAGTCTACTGATTAATCATTGAACTAATCGACGATTAGTCGATTAATCGTACCAATAATTGTTAGATTAATCGATTATCAAAATAATCGTTTGTTGCAGCCGTAGCAGTGAAGAGAGCTCCATTTGTTATAATGGAGTGCTCTTTACACACTTTCTGGACTATAAATGATCTAATCAGAACTTGTAGGAAGCTTTTGTTTTTCATGCTGCTAAACAGACCAATAGGCACGTACATGCAGCAAAGTTGCTGGAAGGATGTCCGCATATAAATAAATACAGGATTAACTCGTGAAATCGCAATGGTTTACATAGTGATAACCATAGCAATAGTCAAAACAAAATTTGTGTCAAAACAGATGTACATGAAGGCTAGAGCACCCTCACTAATTACAGAAGCACCCTCAGTGATTTGATTCTGGCACCGGGCCATTGTTGACAGGGTGCTAGTTATCATAAAACATTATAAGTATAACCATCTTAAATTTAGTGTGATGACTGAGCGAGTTTTTCATTCGGTTTAAACATTTTACTATCACTCGTATTATTGATTTTTAAAAGCCATTGAGTGTAAGCAAAAACATGTATTAAAAAAAAATTTTTTTTAAATGGACCAATCATGCCAAATCTGCCATAACTGTAGCCAATGAGGATATGTAACAGTCGCTTGATAAGCTGTGAGACTAGTCAAATTGCCCCCTCTAGCGGATGAATAAAGTTTGTGCAGTAACAGTTACACCAGTAGGTGATGGCAAGGGACTGTCTTTATCAGCGAGTCATCATTAAACCATTCAATCAACGTGTCACCTGGGTAATGCTGATGTTTCACTTTATAGAAATCAATGGCGTTGATTCAATGTATTGAACAGGGCTGATGCCAGTCCTGTGAAGTCCCCTTAAACTTTGAAATGCTTTCATCCAACAAATTGCAAACTGTTTTTCCCCTTGAATATATGACTTGACCTGAAGAAGGACAGTCGCATGTAATCACACAAGCTCAGTTCCCCATTAGTGTGTGTGTGTGTGTGTGTGTGTGTGTGTGTGTGTGTGGAGGAGCTGCCCGAGCTCCTCCTCAGACATGGAGAGCAGATGAGAGATGACGATTGGCAAAATTTTGGTGTCACCTAAACTTATCAGGGCCATTGACCATATATCATGCAGGTTAAAAACCTCAGTTTTAATTGAACGTAAACAGTTCAGAAAGAAATCGGATGTCTATAATTATATTGGATCCATGTATTGTGTCTTAAAGTGACAGCAGTGTAAGGGCGAATTCCAAACGGCTTTTTTGCGCCCTTGAAGTGCACTTCGGGAATCGGACGCCATTTGTAGGGACGTTCCAAACGAAAGTGAACAACCAAATCCCTTCACGAAGGGCCCTTCCAGAAGTCCGTTAGCGAAGGGAACATGCGATGGTCACTTCACGGAAGTGATTTCCGTTTGTGATCATGTGATCTTCGATTAGGAGATCTTGCAATGCTTTTTAACACTTCATACAACAAAAACAACAGCTCGTTCCATGCATCGTCCATCATTATGCCATTTCTACGTCATTGCACATGCGCAGTACTTTCCAGTTTCGGTTTTCAATCTGATCAAGTGTTTACACGTCCTCTCGATCGGATTAGAAAAGGTCTACACCAGTGTTTCCCAACCTTTCTTTAGTCGCGGCACCCTTTGGAAATATTAACAAATTTGTGGCACCCTACAAAATTAATTGTCACAACATTTGAATTTCTAACTTCGAAATGATACTTTGAAAAGTATAGATATTCGGTACAGCAGAAAAAATCACGATAGGTCTACAAATGAAATAAATTGCTTTTTAGTTTTTCAGGTAGGTCTAACACACAGTAGGGCTATTAAGAGATTTTTTTTTTTTTACCAATTATCCAAATAATGTTTAATCCTAGAAAGCTATTATCATCAGAGGACACATGAGCATAACGGTTAGCAGATCAATGAATGAGAGGGCAGCGTTACCAGAGTTGCCCATTTACCACACCTTGTTACAGCACAGTAGGGCTATTGCAAACAGAAACAATAGTGTACTACATAGATGTTTCCTGTCAGCTCGATTTTTGAGTGGACTTTGCTGTTCCGATGAGCATGAACGGTATATGAGTGGAGCACTCACATGGGCCGCAAGCGACTGAGCGGCGCACACACACGCATAGAGCGGGATAATATGCAGAGCGTCACACCACGTGAAAGTAAATCCTGAGCGGTGAACTAATTTTCGGCAGCCGGAATTTCAGTGCATCTCTAAATATTGGCGACATCAGAAATTGATATTATATAATAGCTGCTTTTATGAACATTTTAGCAATTTAAAAATATTAAAAAAGGATTTTTTACACGGCACCCCTGCTCTTGACAGACGGCACACCAGGGTGCCGGGGCACCCCGGTTGGGAAACACTGGTCTACACCACCCCTTCTAATCCAATCAAAATTTCATTTGATTATTTCATTTGATTATTGGGTTGCATGTAAACGTAGCTAGTAAAGACTATGTATTGTTATTTTATATTTGATTATACACTTTCCGTACCTGAACACCTACAAACCTGAAAAACTTCAAGCATCGTGTCATTTGTATCTTTGCTCTATTTATTAATTTGTACTACTGTTTGTAATTTATTTGTTCTGATTTTACTACTAACTGTTCACTTGTCTTTAATAATATTTGAACTTTACATTTGTTTGCTAGTAGTTTTTGCTATGGTATCAAAATTGGAATAAAGAACTGTAAACTTTAACTGGTATCTAAAATTTTGGTGTCATATATGCTTATTTATTACAATATATGATAACATGGGTCAAAACAACAAAAACAGTGGGCCTCATTCATGAAACATTCATAAATATAATATTATAAAATATTATTATATTTATTATATATAATATAATAAAATTTACATCAGAACAACTTTCTGAACGATTTACAAAAAAATTTGTTCTGCTCGTGTTTCATGAATGAGGCCTAGTAACTATTTCACTTTTTATGGCTGGGCCAATAAATATTTTGGCAGGACAAGTAAAAACTTGAAGCACTGGCCTGAACAGGCCCGTAGATCATTATCATATGAGCAAGGCGATATGATATATCTCAACAAAACTTATTTCTGTCAAAACTGCAATTGCAAATTACTTAAAAAATGTTGTAAAGCTTTTGGGAAAACAGCTCACCTCCTCTGTCTTGCGACGGAGTACACTGGCCTGTTTCTGGAAGTCTCTCTCCAGTTTTAGCATCTCATACTGACGTTTACGATCCTGAAATATGCCCAAACACACTTAATTTCCTACAAAATCTTATTAATATATAAATATGAAAAAAAAAGAAAACAAATTATCATAGACTCCATCTGTAATTTTAACAAGAGAAAAAGATTGATTAAGATTAACACTCACTTTCTCTTTGAGCTGCAGAACTTCTTTATCTTTCTTTTGCTTCCACAAACGAAACTTCTCTGAGTCTTCTTTCATCTGTCTCATGAGCTGCACCCGCTGGGACTTCATAGCCTGCACAGATCAACCAACACACCATATGAATACAACTCAGTCTTTCCACAAATTATCCATTTATTTGCAATTTTGTTATGCTGCCATCACTTAACCACATAAAAGGATCTGGCTAAAACAACATTAAAGGGGTCCTATTATGCTTTTTCAATTTTTGAATTTTAGTCAGTGTGTAGTGTGTATGTTTGGGCATAAAAAAGATCTTCAAACTTACAAACCTCAAAGTCCACTCCAAAGGGAGATATTTCGTTTTTTAAAAATCCCTTTTCAAGAACTACAACGAACGGCTCGTTTGGACTACAGCGTTGTTTTCCGGG